AACAAAAATATATAAATATATATAAACAAACAAAAAATATTAATAATATTTTAAAAATTCAATACTCTGGAAAGGAAAATAATTTTTAACTTATACATTAAAAAATTGACAATGCTATGAAAACTCATTAAAACTTTGAGTGTGTGCATTTATTGAATCTAATTTACCACTAAATAGCTGATCATCTACCAAGATAACTATAATTTTTTCTTTTTTAAATTATTTTTGCTCAGGTATGATAGGTAATTTAAGCATTTAGATGTTTTTCTTAAATAAAATATATTAGCATCTGAGGTGGCAGGTGTGGGTGGACTAGAAGGGGTCAATGGGGGAAAAGGGGGGAATATATGTAATATTTTCAACAATAAAGATTTAAAATTTTAAAAATAAATTTTAATAATATATTAGTATTATTATTACATATAAAGTCTTAAACATATAAAAAAATTTTACCAGAAGAATTTCACTGAACAAAAGTTAGATTGCTTTAAAAAGTGGAAATATGATGAACATATAAATAAGCAGAAGTGCCTTTCATCATGTGCCCTGACTAGTTAGGTAAAATTATGAACAAATTCATATTTACCAATAATTCAATAATATGTTTTGGTAGTTCTATATCCAGATGGGCTCTTTAATAAATATGTTTACTACTCAAGATTCTGATCTCAACATCTTGATTGGAAAAACTGATATATCATTTCCAGGTTTTTGATACTTATACTTTTTTTGTAAAAGAAAAAAATAATCAAAATTTTATTATGTTTGATTCAAGATGAGGACTCACTCAAAAGGACTCAGAAAGAGCCATAGCTCTTAATGCTATTCTATAGTATCTTCTTACCTCCAGCAGCTAACCAAAGGGACTTAATGAATATAGAATCATCACTGGAAACAGATCATTTAGTAATAGGTTCAAATAGTCAGAATAACTGAAGATATTACTCAGTCATATTTATCAGAGTTTCATTACAGTCCTATCCTAGTCTAAAAATGATAAAGAAAACAAATCAAAAGCACCAAAATTACACATCCCCAAATCAACAACACTCTCCAGCAATCAATTAAATCTGACTGAAATAAATGGAACTATGGCTGGAAAATATATCAAATGGTTAGATGTTCTAAAACTACCTGTAGCCCTAGCCGATTTGGCTCAGTGGATAGAGCACTGGCTTGTGGACCAAAGGATTCCAGGTTCAATTCCGGTCAAGGGCCTGTACCTTGGTTGCAGGCTTATCCCCAACCCAGACCCTGGTCGGTGCACGCAGGGGGCAACCAATCAATGTGTTTTTCTCACATCAATGTTTCAGTCTTTCCCTCTGTCTTCCATACTCCCTAAAAATCAATGGAAAAATATCCTCGGGTGAGGATTAACAAAAAATAAAATAAATAAAATAAAATAAAAACTACCTGCAATGCTGACCTAACTCATTTTTTTCCTCAGAGAACATCACCTTCTGCACACTTCCTTCGACTAAGATAAAAGTACTCCAACTATGTCTTTTGAAGCCCAATAACTCAAATACAATTAAAGATTAACAGTGGCATCTTCTTTTTTTTTTAATATGTTTTATTGATTTTTTACAGAGAGGAAGGGAGAGGGATAGAGAGTTAGAAACATCGATGCGAGAGAAACATCGATCAGCTGCCTCCTGCACATCCCCCACTGGGGATGTGCCCGCAACCAAGGTACATGCCCTTGACTGGAATCGAACCTGGAACCCTTCAGTCCACAGGCCGATGCTCTATCCACTGAGCCAAACCGGTCAGGGCTTTAAGATAGGTTCAAATGGTGTTATGAACCAATGTCACCTTAATAAATTCAATTTAAAAAATATATATAACCACAGAATCACATGCAAAAGTGACCATAAAAGTATTAGTTATTAATTTAGGACAAGTATTTCTAACATCTCTATGTTGATTAAAGAATTTAACATTTCAAATTAAAGTTTAAGATTTCAGATTTGCTTTCAGCAAATAACATTTTATCCTGACCATAAATTTACTTTTATGCAAATTGCTGCTAATATTTTAAAAGTCTCGCTCCTGTACTTTGTTTTATTTCCTTTTTCATATAGTAATATGCATGGGAAGTTAAATCATAAAATATAAAATGCGTACAAATTTTATTCTGTAGACAAACAATATTACACAAATGACAGGCTTCAGTTGTGAGTGCTTCTGGGATCAAATGTCACTTCATACCAGGAATTTGTGACTTCATTCTCTAACTTTTCATTATTCTTATAACCCACAACATAATTGCCACACATAATTTTCCTTTTTCAGTGTCAGTTAAATGTCTTTCAAGCTTCAGAATCCCAGAACTTCTAATGATATTCTCAAAATGTAGTGTTTCCAGTTAGTATTATAAAGACTAATCATAACTAGTAAATATAACTGTGGTTTTTCATAAAATTTCATCTTTCCCTCCCTCCCTCCAAAATATATCCTTAAATACTGGAAAGTGTTATCAAATATGTCAAAAGTCTCCTAAGCATAATTAATGTGTGTGTGTGTGTGTGTGTGTGTGTGTTTCAATAATATGTTTTGGTAGTTCTATATCCAGATGGGCTCTTTAATAAATATGTTTACTACTCAAGATTCTGATCTCAACATCTTGATTGGAAAAACTGATATATCATTTCCAGGTTTTTGATACTTATACTTTTTTTGTAAAAGAAAAAAATAATCAAAATTTTATTATGTTTGATTCAAGATGAGGACTCACTCAAAAGGACTCAGAAAGAGCCATAGCTCTTAATGCTATTCTATAGTATCTTCTTACCTCCAGCAGCTAACCAAAGGGACTTAATGAATATAGAATCATCACTGGAAACAGATCATTTAGTAATAGGTTCAAATAGTCAGAATAACTGAAGATATTACTCAGTCATATTTATCAGAGTTTCATTACAGTCCTATCCTAGTCTAAAAATGATAAAGAAAACAAATCAAAAGCACCAAAATTACACATCCCCAAATCAACAACACTCTCCAGCAATCAATTAAATCTGACTGAAATAAATGGAACTATGGCTGGAAAATATATCAAATGGTTAGATGTTCTAAAACTACCTGTAGCCCTAGCCGATTTGGCTCAGTGGATAGAGCACTGGCTTGTGGACCAAAGGATTCCAGGTTCAATTCCGGTCAAGGGCCTGTACCTTGGTTGCGGGCTTATCCCCAACCCAGACCCTGGTCGGTGCACGCAGGGGGCAACCAATCAATGTGTTTTTCTCACATCAATGTTTCAGTCTTTCCCTCTGTCTTCCATACTCCCTAAAAATCAATGGAAAAATATCCTCGGGTGAGGATTAACAAAAAATAAAATAAATAAAATAAAATAAAAACTACCTGCAATGCTGACCTAACTCATTTTTTTCCTCAGAGAACATCACCTTCTGCACACTTCCTTCGACTAAGATAAAAGTACTCCAACTATGTCTTTTGAAGCCCAATAACTCAAATACAATTAAAGATTAACAGTGGCATCTTCTTTTTTTTTTAATATGTTTTATTGATTTTTTACAGAGAGGAAGGGAGAGGGATAGAGAGTTAGAAACATCGATGCGAGAGAAACATCGATCAGCTGCCTCCTGCACATCCCCCACTGGGGATGTGCCCGCAACCAAGGTACATGCCCTTGACTGGAATCGAACCTGGAACCCTTCAGTCCACAGGCCGATGCTCTATCCACTGAGCCAAACCGGTCAGGGCTTTAAGATAGGTTCAAATGGTGTTATGAACCAATGTCACCTTAATAAATTCAATTTAAAAAATATATATAACCACAGAATCACATGCAAAAGTGACCATAAAAGTATTAGTTATTAATTTAGGACAAGTATTTCTAACATCTCTATGTTGATTAAAGAATTTAACATTTCAAATTAAAGTTTAAGATTTCAGATTTGCTTTCAGCAAATAACATTTTATCCTGACCATAAATTTACTTTTATGCAAATTGCTGCTAATATTTTAAAAGTCTCGCTCCTGTACTTTGTTTTATTTCCTTTTTCATATAGTAATATGCATGGGAAGTTAAATCATAAAATATAAAATGCGTACAAATTTTATTCTGTAGACAAACAATATTACACAAATGACAGGCTTCAGTTGTGAGTGCTTCTGGGATCAAATGTCACTTCATACCAGGAATTTGTGACTTCATTCTCTAACTTTTCATTATTCTTATAACCCACAACATAATTGCCACACATAATTTTCCTTTTTCAGTGTCAGTTAAATGTCTTTCAAGCTTCAGAATCCCAGAACTTCTAATGATATTCTCAAAATGTAGTGTTTCCAGTTAGTATTATAAAGACTAATCATAACTAGTAAATATAACTGTGGTTTTTCATAAAATTTCATCTTTCCCTCCCTCCCTCCAAAATATATCCTTAAATACTGGAAAGTGTTATCAAATATGTCAAAAGTCTCCTAAGCATAATTAATGTGTGTGTGTGTGTGTGTGTGTGTGTGTGTGTGTGTGTGTGTGTGTGCCTCATATGCTAAACTCCCCTCTGTAGAATTTACTCTATTGCTCTACAGTAACTGTATCCAATAAATATGTTCCCTCATCCAAATTTCCTCTTGACTATACACTATTCACTACCTCTGGAATGTCCCTGCAATGCTGACCTCTGGCATGTCCCAGCTTACCATCTTTCCTTTCTTTCATAAAGCTTCTTCTAACATAAAGCTGGCAATCTCTACATGAGGGCAATCTCTACATAAAATTCCATGACTCTTTCATTTACCATTCCATAATCACCCTTTGCTCATACATAATTCTCTTATGTATCTATTTCAAATATCCTTATTTCTCACCTTATAAATGATAATATTGGCAATATTATTTATTATTATTATAAGTTATAATATCAGAAGTATCATTATTAGCTCCTATAAGGCTATGGAAATATTTCATGCCTTATACAGAGCAAGAATTGTGCCTTTTTCAGATGATATGTCATCTTATATTTGGGTAATAAAGATATGTAATTAAGCACTTTTGCTATACAGCTACCTCATAATGTACATCATAAAGTCCCACTTAGCGTTTGATTAGTTCAGTCTAGTAAAGACCCATTAAGTGTCAGATGCTGGCTCTGTCCTTAAGAAGTCAAATCACAGTATCAAAAATGAGCCAAACACCCAAAATACTTTTTCTACACAATACCAACTATCAAGAATCTCTGATTTATATTCTTGACTTAACTAGATGTTTTCCCATTGTGTAAGTGGCCTTTGAAACTAAAGCAGAAAGAAACATCTTAGAAAAGCATTTTCCTGAGCACTGGTATAGTAGGACTCATATAGCTCTATAAACTCCACTGGCTGGCCAAAACTTTAAGAAATCAAATAATGCCTTGGCCAGGTGGCTCAGTTGATTGGAGCTGTCATCCCATACAACAAAAGGTTGTGGGTGTGATTCCCAGTCAGGGCATACCTAGGTTGCACGTTCGATCCCTAATCAAGGCTTGTGCTGGAGGCAACCGGTGGATGTTTCTCTCTCTTTTTTTTAAATTTATTTATTGATTAAGGTATTACATATGTTTCTGTTCTCTCCTCTTCTTTTCTATCCCTCTCTCCTCCCTCTCTCCCTCCCTCCCT